CTCACAGATTCTAGATATTATACTTTTGTCGGATGAATAGCTTGTATATATTTTCTCCCATTCTAGGTTGTCTGTTTACTCTGTTGATAGTTTCTTTTTGCTATAAAACAGCCCTTTTGTTTAAGAAGGGCCTATTTGTAAAGTTTTGTTTTTGTTGTAATTGCTCAAAAGAAGACATACATGCAGCCACCAAGCATATGAACAAATGCTAAACATCACCAATCATTAGAGAAATGCAAGTCCACAATGAGATACCATCTCACACCAGTCAGAGTGACTCTTACTAAAAAGTCAAAAAATAACATGCTGGTCAGGTTTGCAGAGAAAGTGGACCACTTATACACTGCTGATGGGAATGTAAATTAGTTCAGAGATGGTGAAAAGTGGTTTCAAAATTTTTCAAAACACTTAAAACAGAACTACCATTAGACCCAGCAATCCCAACACTAGCTATAAACCCTCCAAAATATAAATTGTTCTACCATAGAGATGCGTGTATGCATATGCTCATTGCAGAACTATTCACAATAGTAAATACATGGAATCAACCTAAATGCCCATCAACAGTGGGCTGGATAAAGAAAATGTGGTACATATACATCATGAAATGCCACATAACCATAAAAAAGAATGAGATCATATCCTTTGCAGCAACATGGATGAAGCTGGAAGCCATTATCCTAAGTGAACTAACACAGAAATGGAAAATAATATACCACTTGTTCTCACTTATAAGTGGGAGCCATACAATGGTTACACATGGACACAAAGGAAAAAGCGATAGACACTGGGGCCTACTTGAGGGTGAAGGGTGCAAAAAGTGTGAGGATAAAATACTACCTATTGTATATTATGCTTATTACCTGGGTAATAAAAAATGTGTGCATCAAACCTTCAGGACATGCAATTTACTCATATAACAAACCTGCATATGTACTTGCTGAACTGAAAATAAAAGTTGGAAAGAAAGATGAAACAATAAATAAACTCAGAGAAGTGAGTCCAGAATTTGTGATGCTTTTATTAAAGAGCATTTTCTGATTCTGGTAGATGTAGTGTGGTATCTAATTGTGGTTTTAATTTTCATTTTCTTGATTACTATTAAGGTTAAACAAAAGATGTTTTTAAATATCTTTTGGGCATTTGGATATTCTCTTTTGTGAAGTGTCTGGACAAGTCTCTTGAACAATTTTCTGTGGAGCTGTCTCTTTTACTTAATGCATACAAAGATTCTTTATATATTCCGGATATATGTCCTTTCTTAAATATATGTATTAAAAATACCACCTAATCCTCTGTGGGATGTGAATTTTTGCTTTATATGTTTAGGAGGTCTGATATTAGATACATACACACTTAAAATGATTATATCTTCCTGAAAATTGAACTATTTTTATAAGTAAGAAATAATCTTTTTGTTCATCACTAACATTTTTTGCTCTAAGGTCAGATTTGATACGTTTTTTGGTTTAGGGTTTGCTTGATATATTGTTTCTCATCCTTTTATTTTACACTTTTTGTATGCATTAAAATATACCACTTTTAAATAGTAAGTATTTCACTTTTGAGTTTTTAAGATTTTGTCTGAAATATTTATACTTTATTACATATAATATATTTATTCACATAGTTAGGATTAAATCTACCATTACACTATTGGCTTTCCTGGAGGAAATGAAAGTTCTAATTCTTATTTAAATTTAATAAATCAAAAGCACATGCTTTAATTTTAAGATTAAAAGAAAACACATAGTAAAAGACTTTATAATTATTAAATTAATTGGAGGGAGAAATAATGCAATAAAGGGGAGATAAAGGTATGTAGAACCATTGACCAAAATATAGAAAACATTTTTTTGTTTGTTGATTTGTTTATTGTATTTAGTTTCTCTATTTTACAATATTGGTTTCCTTAAATATTCAGTGTCCATTTACACTTTCATTTAGTAATTTCTCTTCTCATGTCAGGCAGTGTAGGTCCTGCTTACCGTAGCCTACATCTGGTGACTGTGAGACAGGAGTGGGGATGAAGCCAGGTTATAAATACAGATTGACTATGATCCAGGTTATAAATACAGATTGACTATGATCCAGGTTATAAATACAGATTGACTATGATCCAGGTTATAAATACAGATTGACTATGATCCAGGTTATAAAAACAGATTGACTATGATCCAGGTTATAAATACCGATTGACTATGATCCAGGTTATGAATACCGATTGACTATGGACTATGATCCAGGTTATAAATACAGATTGACTATGATCGAGGTGGGAGAAAGCCCCTGGCTTCTCCAGACTAAGGTGACCTCTGTGTCTTCATCATCAGAATTCCAGCTCTATAGAGTGAACTCAAGACTTTCATTTAGTGATCAATTCCATAATCTTCTCTGCTTTTTTCTTTTTCTTTATACCCTGTTAATTGAAAGTTAGATGTGATTCTTGTCTCTTTCCTGGTTTTTTTGTTTTTGTTGTTGTTGTTGTTGTTTTTGACACAGAGTCTCGCTCTGTTGCCCAGGCTGGAGTGCAGTGGTGCGATCTCGGCTCGCTGCAAGCTCCACCTCCTGGGTTCATGCCATTCTCCTGCCTCAGCCTCCCGAGTAGCTGGGAGTACAGGTGCCCACCACCACACCCAGCTAAATTTTTGTATTTTTAGTAGAGGTGGGGTTTTACCCTGTTAGCCATCTTTCCTGTTTTTTACTCAGAGCTGGCACTCACATTCTGTATACTTATCTAGAGCAGAACCATAATTTTGCTCATAAAACAGTTCTCATATTTTGTTTTTGGAATAAACACCTTGTTATGTGATGCCTGTGTGAGGGAAAGAGGATCAGTTGGCCCAGTTTTCCATCATAATTTAAAAAAGCAATTACCTTAATAACTGCTCAGGGCTCCAACCTCCTCCCCTGCTGCTTATAGTTTTGACACTGAACTTGAGCTCTTTCTGATTTGCTCTTATTTGCATAGTAGTTAGTTTTGTTAAATGCTTACTTTGAGGTAGGGTGATTTTATTATAAATAAATATATATATATTTCTCTGTCGAATTTCATGTTATTGTTCTCTTGAAATTGTTATCTACTAATAATAACCTGATAATGTCTCATTTCACACCATATGGAGTGGGAGGAGAGATTGATGCCTGTCCTTAGTCTAGAATTTCAACCTCTCTTAGGAAGTCGTGAAACTCTGTACCCTTGTCTTCTGCAATGCCACACTTTCCGAGCTTGCCTGCTGTCTTCCTTACCCTCTTTTTCATAATCCTCTGGGTATTCTTATTTCTGATATACTGTTTCTATCCTCTAGAAATAGGGTTTGACATTTTCTGCCTCCACACACAAGCCTGGGTGACCTCATCCCTCTGGATGAAGAATGGTTGGGTTTACCTCTACAGCCATGGTCTCATTCCCTAGCTCCTGCCAGTTATCCAATTCTTGTCAACTTTGTTTGAAGATGCCTACACAACTCTGATTAAATACGTTCAAAATTTTACTCTTTGTTCCTGCAGTTCTGTCCTGGTTCGTGTCTACTGCCTTACTGAATGGCTCTATCTCTCATTCAGTTTCCTAACCCAGAATCTGAGTGTCATCCTTTTTTTTTTTCCTCCTGATTTACATATTCATTATACCAACAAGTACTATCATTTCTTGTTCCTAAACAGCTTTCAAATCCATTCATTCTCTCCAACTTCACTAGCATCACAGGTAGTTCAGGTAACCATCATCCCTTCCCTAGAGAACTGCCTCTACCTTGAGCCTAACTCTCTAATTTTATTATTATTTTTCCCTGTTGTTTGAAACCAGGACAATATTTCTGAAATATAATCTATTTTAATTTTGAGAATTATAATTTCAGATTATAGACCACATAGTTTTTGGAATTAGGCAAAACCGGATTTCAATCTCATCTATACCAGCTATAGGAGTATCTCTGAAACTCTGACAGAGTTTCAGTTTCTTCTGAAAAATGGAAATAATAATGTTACCTTCCTTCATTCTCCTTCCATTTGTGTGTCTTTTGTCTTGTTTCCAATTAGATGTCCCTTTATCTAGGAAGTGTCCTCTGCCAACCCAATGTTGGGTTCATTGATCCTTCTATGAGCTCTCTTAGGATACCCAACTTTACCTTGCAGATCACTGATTATAATGGCTTATAACGATTTATTTGCTCATCTATATTGTCACTTTACCTTGCAGATAACTGATTGTAATGGATTGTAGTGATTTATTTACTGGTCTGTTTTTCCAAGTAGTCTATAAAACTCTTTGAGTGAAAATTATTTTTTACCATTTTATCAGAAGCACAGGGCACACTGCTTGGCTTATAATAGTTTTTCTAAAGAAAATGCTGAATGAATGAAACTGCACGCCACTTTGCTTTCCTCCTCCATGTAAAGTAAACATTATTTTATTTTATAAATGAATCATAAGTTCAGGAGATTAACAAGGTCATGCAAGAAATGATTGCCATTGGTTTTATCTTAGTCAAAGGCCAGCTTGTTCTATGATACCAGCTGCTTCCTTCACTTAGAAAGGCGCTGTTTTATTGCCGTACAACCAACTTGTTGCCATTTTATGGCCACTCATGATGAATCTCTAAAGGTGGAATTTCATGTAAATAAAACATTTAAGTTGTGTATATTAAGGTCGGTGCAAAAGTAATTGTGATTTTGGCCATAAAATAATGGCAAAAACCGCAATTACTTTTGCACCAACCTAATAAAATAGTAATAGTAGCTCTCCAGGAAGACACGAGCACTATGGAAATGTGTGACACGGTGAAAGGGGGTATTTACAAAATACCATTTACTTAGCTTGTGTATATAATGACCTTTGAAGAGGGTCTTACATACAGTAAATCCTCTACCACTGATACCCACAGTAATTAGTAGCATTATTTTCATAGGAAAGACTGTATGAGGCAGCCGCTGCTTTTTCAGCAAAATTCAGAATAGACATCCGCACCCATACTGAGAACACAAAATCAGTTAATGCTTCCGATATAAAAGAGGAACTAGTTGTGGGTCTCAGAAATTCTCAGCACAGCCTTTAAGTTTCCAAACATCTACTAGAAAAGGAATGCAGATTTAAACTGAGTGAGGTGTGGAGTGGGGGAAGCTGACTGGGTCTGGACCAAAGAACTTCAAGGAACTTGCCCAGAGCCCTGCACGCATCAGACCTACCGCAGACACTGCAGGCCCGAAGAAAGGTAGGCCCAGGGACTTGCTTTCCTAGGCTTTCGGGCTGATGGTTTGGTTCACTTCCCGGGTTTAGGATTTCTGGGAGTGGAATGAGAAAAAAAAATGAGGCCACTTCCCATGACACAAGCTGGTAGTCAGGGTTGGGGTGGGTTGCGTGCACCTTTAAATGTGCATTTGGTGAGGGGATGAGAACCGTCTTTGCTACAGTTGATGGGAGTTAGAAAAGCCTCCTCAAGGCTGACATTGGAGGCTGCATAAGGTTGTTTAGTTACTTTTGTCCCCTAAGTCCTCAGGATTCCAAAACACTGAAAGCAACATTTTATACTTTTGACTAGTTACCTCATCTACTGTTAATGCCCTTCCTCCATGGTCTTTATTCTCTGTGTCTGACTGGTTATTTTTATAATTCAGGATTTAAGAACAGATGTATCGCATGCAGAATTTGGTGTACATGGACTAGGGCACAGGCAGGGTCCCCAGCCTTGTACATTTAGATGGGCTGTAACCTGACCTAGTTCTCCAGTGGTCTTTGGCACTATTCATGGGGCACCCAGGCAGTAAACTGAGGCTGCTCATGATAAAATCTACTAATGAAAAACGCCTTGTAGACTTTTAGCATTCTTAGGATAAGAAAGAAGCTTGTAAGTAGTCGTGGCCATTGTAATCTTTTCCCAGATGAAGTAAGTGAAACCCAGAAAAGGGAAATAATGTACCCAGAATCACACAAGTTAATAAAAGGGCTGGGAGCAAACAAACAAACAAACAAAAAAGAATTCTTGGTTCCTAGTCCAGGCCTTTTCACTTCCCGTGCCACAATTTCTGCATCCCCATCATCCTCCTAAAAACTATCCAGATTCAGGCCTCATTTTGGGTTTCTAGTCTATTTGATAACTTTGCCAAGAAAAAGGGGATGACCATGTGTACCACTCTCCTCATGCTCTCTCCTTGTGATTGTGGCGGGGGGTGGGATGGGGCGGGGGGGATGGTAACATAAAAATGAGGAAACAAGAGACTGGTGGTGCTGCTGATCCACAAAGAGACTGGGGCCAATCAAAGAGGGAAGGGTGGTCTAGGTTCCCTCACCTCTTTTTGTTGTTGTTGTTGTTGTTGTTGTTGTTGTTGTTGTTGAGATGGAGTCTCGCTCTGTCTCCCAGGCTGGAGTGCAGTGGCGCGATCTCGGCTCACTGCAAGCTCCGCCTCCCGGGTTCACGCCATTCTCCTGCCTCAGCCTCCCGAGTAGCTGCGACTACAGGCGCCCGCCACCACGCCCGGCTCATTTTTTGTGTTTTTAGTAGAGACGGGGTTTCACCGAGTTAGCCAGGATGGTCTCGATCTCCTGACCTCGTGATCCGCCCGCCTCGGCCTCCCAAAGTGCTGGGATTACAGGCGTGAGCCACTGCGCCCAGCCTCCCTCACCTCTTTATCCGGGGGGCGGGGAAGACATTGTAGTTGTCAAGAGCCTGATGCATATAGGTGATGGTACAAAACCAAGGTTTCAATTCTTCTCCAACCCAGAATAAATGTCCCTCATATGTATCCAACATTCTCAGCAGTTTTAAAAAAATTGAATAGAGAGAAGTCAAGCCCTGGATGGTAAAATATTTTTGTCCTTGGGGACTTTATATGCTGTAGATAATTAACACAAGGATTTCTGTGGTGGAAAAACAGGAGGCAGTTATATGAACTTATGGCCAGAGTTCCTTAGAATGACAAAGCACCAGCCTTGAAGGACCAGAACCTGACCTATGTTATCAAAGAATTATGGGAAAGCAGAAGAGTCAGTTATAAGCTTTGCTTTGATATAATGGCTCTGCCCTGGAGGAAGCTTACAGTCTTGACAGAAAGGCACTAAACACAGAGAGAGAACCACCAGTGTGTTTGATAAGACAGACCCAACATGTCCTAAATTCTCAGTCTGAAGGTGTGTGTGCCTGAGAGATTGAGGCAGAGGTTCTTTTACATTAAAGAAGAATAAAGTACACATTTCGATGGACTAAGAAGAATCATCTTTAGTCACTTTCCAAATAACTTTGACTTTTGCAATGTAGAAGTAACATAACACAGATTTCTTAGACCCTTGGTTACCATCATAGGTTGAGTGATCCACGTGTGGGCAATGGTGGAGAAGTGGGGGAACAGTGTCTGAAAGAAGATAGAAACTATGCAATGCTGTTTGTGTGTGAGAAGATTAGATGATGTGGTGCGTTTGTTTTTGTTCTTACAAGGTGGTCACAGGAGGGATGGAACATTCCTGCAAATGGGTTCAATATATGCAAACGTCTCAATATAAGAATGAAATCACTTCTTTGGAACAACTTAAGTAAGACAAATATACTTGGGGCTTTAAAAATTAAAAGGAGAGAGATTTGAGGTAAGACTACAACAATAGATTTGTGCTGAAGTAGCAGAGGTTTTGTTATCAACATTAAAAATTTTAACTCTATGCTAAGGGTGGTGAAATGTAAAAGAAGGCTTTTAAAGGGGAGGGTGACTCAATTGATTTTATATTTGATCATTCTGGCTACAACATCAGGGGTGGACTGAATATCCAAAGCCACAAATGGACACAGGGAACAGTCAGAGGCTATGACGAATACTTCTGATGAAAATAGGATAATGGCTTGCCTTGAGAAGATGAGAGAAATACACAGAGTTGAAAAATGGTTGTGTAGGATTAAGATGAGATTGATTGAACATAGAGGGTAGGCAGCAGAAGAACTAATGACAAACTACCAGATATTTTTGAGACAGGGTCTCACTGTGTTGCCCAGGCTGGAGTACACTGGCACCATTGTGGCTTATTCCAGCCTCGACCTCAGCCTCCTGAGTAGCTGGGATTACAGGCGCCCACCACCACACGCAGCTAATTTTCGTATTTTGTGTAGAGATGGGGTTTCACCATGTTCCCCAGTCTGATCTCAAACTCCTGGGCTCCAACAATCCTCCCACCTTGGCCTCCCATAGTGCTGGGATTACAGGAGTGAGTCACAATGCCTGACTTTAAACTTCCAGATTTTTAACATGGATAGTGTAGTTAATTGCTGGGCCTTCCACCAAGAAAGGACACTTGCAGTCCCATAGCATTAGGGTTCCTGTTCCCTTTAGCTCTTGCCACTCTTGATTAGGGACTACTTGCAGGGCTCTGAAATAATCTCCACGTACTGTTCCTTGCGCCACCTTACTTTTTTGAAAGAGAAATTTTGAGGAAGACTGGATGTCTTCTATTTAAGTCTTCTAAGGTTTGAAATAAAAGTTACCTCTTCTCCGTTCTGGAACAAGTAGGTAAATTGTCAATTTCTGGGCTTTATTAGAATGACTTTAAATTAAGCCCAGAGAAGGACAATTCCCCTAAGTGTAACAAAAATCTAAGGATGTGGATTAAATGTAAGACCCAAAACAAGACCTATTTTATTTTAGCCATATGCTCCAAATCTAAATTTTGTGTTCCGTCCAGGGAGCGCTAAAGTGTATATATAGGTCTGAATATACCTACTCCATAGCATATATATGTAACCCACCTCCCAAATTCCATTATCATTGGAACAGAGACTGCAAGAGGAAGAGGAGGGCCTCTTGGCCCACCTCTACATAGTCTTGTACCTAACTTATTCCAAATTGGGTGGTTTCCTCCTTTTAGCTATTATAGATAATGCTGCTAAGAAAATTAATTGTACAAGTTTTTGTGCAAACAAAAGAGATCTTCTATTCACCAGACTAGTGTAGTGGATCCCCTTAAGCAAAAGAGTTCTGGAATTACAGCACCTGGATTTAAATTTTGGCCCTGCCACTGTTTACTTAAGTTACTTAATCTTGTGTTTTTATAATTCTGCCCTGTGAATAATAGAGTATATCTCTCAGGGGAATTTAATGATGAAATAACACATATAAAACATTTAAACCAGTGCATGTCACTTAATAAATGCTAAGTACATATTAACTGTTATTACTGATATTCCTACTATCACTTACTCATTTCTGGCTTGAAGTATAAAACATAAACTTCCTTTAACACTTCCTGCCACTCAAAGGCATGCTAGACAGGGACTTTATTCCTGTCATGACCCTGCTCCAACCTGCTCCTGTCTTGGGGCAAGTGGAAAAGCAGATAAAAGGGGTCTATGTAACTGGAGAGAGCATGTTATTCATGGTACTGTGTTGTCAGATGTTGACACTTCCTCTCTTTTGCAGTTTGTCTCAAAGATTGGTCAGAAGAGTCAGGATTGTACTCTTTTTTTTTGCTCTCATGGAATAAGTTAGATACAAGACTATGCAGAGGTGGGCCAAGAGGCTCTCCTCTTCCCCTTGCAGTCTCTGTTCGAATGAGAATGGAGTTTATGAGGTGGGTTACATTTGCATGCTATGGAGTAGGTACATTCAGACCTATATGTACACTTTAGCATCCTCTGAGCAGAACACAAAATTTAGATATGGAGCAAAGGGGTAAAATAAAATAGCAGGCCTTATTTTTGGTCTTAAATCTAATTTGTACTCTCAAATTTTGTTAAACATCGGAGAATTGTCCCCCTCTGGGCTTAATTTAAAGTCATTCTAATAAAGCCCACAAATTGACAATTTACCAACTGTCCCAGAAGGGAGAAGAGGTAATATTTATTTCAAACGTTAGAAGACCTAAATAGAAGATATTCAACCTTCCTTAAAATTTCTCTTTCAAAAAAGTAAGGTGGCACAGGAAAAGTATGTGGAAATTATTTCAGAACCCTACAAGTAGCCCCTAATCAAGAGTGGCAGGAGCTAAATGTAACAGGAATCCTAAGAGGGCTATGGGACTGCAAGTGTCCTTTCTTGGTGGAAGGCTCAGCAATTAACTACATTGTCTGTGTTAAAAATCTGGAAGTTTAAGTTTGGGCACAGTGGCTCACTCCTGTAATCCAAGCACTATAGGAGGCTGAGACAGGAAGATCACTTGAGCCCTGGAGTTTGAGGCCAGCCTGGGTAACATGGAGAAACCCCACTTCTACAAAAAATACAAAAATTAGCTGGGTGTGAT